TTACATCACATTGACACAGTTCAAAGAGCCGCATCCCTAATAATAACGGTTACATTCAGCAGCACACCTCAAGCTGCACTTGACACCCTACTGTGCTTAGGCCCACTAAGCGTAATCGTAGAGGAATAGGCAATTAGGTGTGCACTTAGACTCAAAGTACTAAACCAATGGCGCAGGCAATCCTTTGTGCATTCTGCGATCCTAGGGCGTGTAAGGTATGTAGGAGAGGAAACCAACACTATTAATTGTATCTCACCACGGTTGTGCTTTGACCCAGCTGACATCCACATACCTGATAAGGACACCTGGGCCCGTAACAATCAACGTTTCTGCGGCATAGCTCTCTATGCCAACGGTTCAAAGAATGGAATGCGGAACGGGAGATGGTGTCTGCTGTAACACTCTTAATGTTCGCAAATCCTACAAGCTCAGAAACGACAGCAGCGTATTTCAGGCGGAAAGTTCTGCGGTCAAAAAAGCCATAGACCTGTTGGTAACGAGGAACAACGAGGTTAGCAGTCCGGAGACTATATACGTCGATAGTCAACCGGCACTGAAAGCCCTAAACTCCTTTACTATCAAGTCTAAGGTTTATTTTGGACTGCAGGAGATTCTTGGAAAATGCTAGGTTGTCCATCATGAACTGTTGGGTTCCTTGTCATTACACTATTCCAGGCAACGAGACTGCCAGACCACTTCCCACAGGTAATTCATAAACACTACTCGGAATATGGTCCATACTCTCGGAGAAGAGAACAAAGTCGCTACTGTAATTGTCTAAACCTGACTTAAAACTTGTGGTGGGTATCATCACGGGTCACTGCAAGGTGAGGGCAATGACCTCGAAATGGGACATCGATGTCATTGATTACTGTAGACTATGTCAGGACAAAGAAGAAATTGAGACGATCGAAAATCTGATCTGCCACTGTCCAGCACTCATTAACGGGAGACACAGGTTAGTGGGGGAGCAAGTGTCACATGATTTGTCTCCGTTCCCTAACACTGGCCCTACAGTAATTTTTCAATTAGCCAGATGATTTATGTGGCTAAAGACTACATGGCAAGATCTCTAGCCATCGATCATCCTCATATAAATATAATAATAAACCACTAACACCTTACTTTTTTCCACCATTCTTTCTTTCTTCCAATTTCTTATTAGGATGAACACAATGGACTAGCAGGTCTCTAACTAACCTAAGATTCATGGTACATATTGCATACACAGTCTTTTTTCAGAAACTCACAATGAAATTTGAATTGGAACTCTTCCAAAAATGTACGGATTCCGAGGAAACTTACTTCGAGATGTAAACATTCAAAACGTCTTCTTATTTAGCTCTTATTTTATTATCTGTTCGATATTCCCTGCATTTATTGAAAACAATGAATTTAGTCGCACAAATAATACCAAATACTTATTTTAATATTAGAAATGAGAACGCAACCACAGTACATTTGTACTTCTACTCTTTTACGATAATATACGTTTATATGTATGTTTTTCTTTGTGTGCTGTGAAGTCTGTCGATAGATTTTCATACGTCCATTTCCGGAATTGGGAAAAAAAATCACTGCTCTATATTGCTGATATTGTTGTTGGTCTTGGTGCTTTTGATATGATACCAAATTTTTTGTGTGTGTCTTCTGTTGATGTAAGTGGCGTTCTCATAGCAGTTGTTGTTGTACTTGCCATTGGCGGTAGCCCAAAACTGATGGCTCGCTCAATGAAGTTAAGAGAATTGTTTGTCAGTTTGATTTTGCAAGCCAGACTAGGCAGCCAAGTTCAGTTCAGTTGAGTTCACTCTTGCTGAGCTTGGCTCCTCTGACCATTTACAATTCTGTCCAGTGTTCTGGTTTTGCTTGTTAACAACATGGCAATTCCAATCAATGAAGTTATCTGATATGGGAAATTTTTGAATTCATTTTTTTCCAGCAACACCAGTTCACACACAGACATCTATCCGTTTTACTTTAAACTTTAACTTGTTTTGTGGTTATGTTATGCATTTTGGTGTAATAAAGTGGTTCGATATTATAACACAGCGAGCGGATGTTGATATCCTAGGTTCATGAATGGAAATTTCTAAATGAAACAGTGATTTTGAAATCGAAATAGAAAAATAGTGCCAAAAATGTTAATTAGATATTTTTTTTTAATATATTTTAACGAAATTTGTATTATTATTAATTTTTGTATAATTATCAAACAATGGTTATATATAAAATATAAACACCGAGAAAACGGAATAGAATATTAAAAGGAAAACTTGTCAGGTTAAGATTGTATTTGGATCTAACTTTGGCAGAATATCTTAATATTTATCCCTGTATCTTAGCTAAATGCTAGTTTGGATAATCGGCCCACCCTTATACACACACATACACACGCAAACAAAGTGTTTACTCTTTTACGTACAAAATATTGTATAAAATGCTCGTTAGTTGTGGGAAAAAATTCATTAGCAAAAATGTAAGTAGTTGGTCAAAAAAACCAACAATGCCAAAGCAGAAAGTTTGAAACTTTCATGAGTAACGTTGCCATATAATTGACTAAAGAGGGAAGTCTGGAGCATAAAGGGGTCTCTGAATTTAGGTAGAGATTATACATCCAAAGAAACTGAAATACCAAATGATATTTCATCGAATTTGTGTTCTCGGGAATATTGAAAAACTGGAGATAACGTTCTATGAGTCGGCCTCTTTCAATATCGTGATTTCAACATGTGGACACTCAAAACATACATAGAATTTAAGCCGACCAACTACATAGCGAACCAAACTGTCTGAGTTCGGTGCTACTTCGAACCGTCTGACTTCTTACCGAAAGTTATACGGAGTGGTTGACGTGTTGTCGGACTGAAGAGTGGGATTAAATTCTGAAGTTTTAGTCGGCATTCGAACCGAAGTCGGACGAAATTCGCATGGATATCCATGGAAATTTCGGAAGAGAAATTAAAATTAGATTTCGGATCGAACACCAAAGTAATATGCGCACACATTTGATTTTTTGCCGACTTTCTAACATTTCTGCCACCGTCACCTTTGAACACTAATTGGCGAACGCATTTTTTCTCCGACGCCCCAACAACAATGACACATTTATTTCATTCACAAGATGTAAGCACATAAAACCTCTTAAAAAGACAGACACTTAAACCATTTTTATACCCTCCACCATAGTATGGACGGAATAGTAAATTTGTCATTCCGTTTGTGACACCTCGAAATATACATTTTAGACCCCACAAAGAATATATATTCTTGATCAGCATAAAATTCTATGTCAATTTAGCGATGTCCGTCCGTCTGTGAAAATCACTCTAGCTTCCGAACGAAAGGAAGTAGATTGATAAAATTTTACTCAAAGGTATATTATGTCTGCTGGATTTTTGGTATTGAAAATGGCGATCCACGTTTTGGTATAGTCCCCATATAACGGTACCTCCCTATTTTCGGTATTTTCGTAATGGATACTACAGCCTAAGACAGAAAATTGTCTGTGCAAGTTCACGTCTTCATATAGCCCTAATATAACGGTACCTGCCGATATTCGGTATTTTAATGATTTTAGCGACAATATTCACCGGAATTGTTTCAAATTTGGTATTTTAAGTTCGTAATGGATACTACAGCCTAAGACAGAAAATTGTCTGTGCAGGTTCACATCTTCATATAGCCCTCATATAACGGTAAATACGGATATTCGGTATTTTGATGATTTTAGCCACATTATTCACTGGAAACGGTTCAAATTTGCTATTTGAAGTTCGTATGGACACTACAGCCTATGACGGAAAATTGTTTGGTGATGGTGATGATTTTGTTTTCTTTTTTTTTTATTTTTTTTTTTCAACTATCGCATTTGAATGTTGTAATGGCTTATGATAAAAATTGCCTATCTATTTATTATTTATTTAACTGATTTTTTTGTTTTCAAAATTTCCAAATTCGGTCCAAATGGTGAAGGGTACTCAAAGTTCGGCCCGGGCTTTTTTGCTTGTTTTCTTATTGAATTTTTCTAGAACTCTACAATAAGAAAAAAATCCTTCGAAATGTTTGGCGGACTTCGGGCATGTGTCGGTCATATAAGTCGGAAAACCTTCCTACTTTGAGCAGACGTGTTGGATGTGCCGACATTTGTTTGGCTGGGGTATACCACAATTTCATTTTAGAAAGTATATAAGTATTTTCCATCAAGCTATGCTCTTACATTATTTGTTCCTTGGGACTTTTCCCTAACGTTTCAGAGCGAAGAAAGAAGTCCTGCAAATAAAACAAATCTTCTACTTATAGACTCTTAAAAGAAGCAGCTGCTCAGTAAAAGTTTTGGTTGAATCAAAATTCTATTTTTCAAATTTTTAAAATTAAACTTATAATGTAGGTCCTTAAGTAGAAACTTCAGTGTTGGGTTTTAATCCTTGTTGGGAAATAAATATTTTCTTTTTAAATATCAATAATCTGGCAACATCATTTACAACATTCATATGGAACTTATAATCTCAACTTAATGTGTATATGTACAGCTTGTTAGTGTTATAACCCTCTCTGGGTTATTTGTTGCAACATGGATCCTGTCTTTTTTCAACAAACTCTCTAGTGGGTGTTATTCACAAGTGCTCCTATCAATGGTGTCGATTTTGTCCCCAAACAACTTCAGCCCCAATGCAACATTAACAAGTGAAAACTATATTTTTTTCGATTTGTATCCTGTTGTACATCTAATTGAAACAAACTAAATCTGCATTTTAATGGCCAAGAGCTAAATAGGAATTACAATTTCAATTTATTACCGAATGCAAAAGTTCAGCTCAGTCCAATGGAGCAGAAGAGAACACATTTCTCCACATGGAGGTGTGCAGTCACTGATGAAAATTGATTGTCTTTGGAATTACTTTAATTAAGAGAATTGATGTTGATGTTATTTGCTGCTATTGCCATGTGTTGGCTATTTTTATCGGTTGTTAGTTAGAAATTGCGCTGGCTGTAACACTTACCTCGTTATCGTGCGGCGGAAGCTGATGCAACAATTGCCGCACTCGATATTGCTCTCCGGGACTGTTGACATATGGCACTTTATCATCGGATATTTGTGAGAAATACAAACGCACCTGGAAACAAAAATAAGGAGTATAGAATTAAGTTCTAAGTGTGAAAATTTATGGTAATTTTTTTCGTGAGAAGACAAATATTCGGAACAAATTTTTCTATAAAAAAGGGTAAATGTTGTTTGTTATACCCTACAACACTATGTGTTGGGGGTATTATAAGTTTGATTGGGCCAAAAATTATGTAACACCACGAAATATTGATTTCCCACATAGGAAAGTATATATGGATCTTTCTATCTCGCCGAGCTGAGTCGATCTAGCTATGTATGTCCGTCCGTCCGTCTGTCCGTCTGTCCGTCTGTCCGTCTGTCCGTCTGACCATGTTATTTTGTAATCACTCTACAGGTCGCAATTATGGCCCGATCTTCACGAAATTTAGAATGGAGGTGGGGCTAGGGTCAGAATAGAACCCTATTTCTTTTGGAGATGATCGCCAAATGTTTAGGGGTTGAAATGGACCAAATATTGAAAAAATGTCGGATTTTGCAGAAGCTATACAGGTCGCAATTATAGACCAATCGACGCGGAATTTCGCATGTAGCTAGAGTTTAGGGCGGGCAAGAAGCCTACCAATTTGGGTGGTCATCGGATAATATTTAGCGGGTAAAATAGGCCATATCTTTTTTGTTGAAAAACTTCAAAATTTTTCATTAAACCGCGAATATTTTAAGTCCCGGCGAAATCACAAAGCCATGAGAAGGTTACTTCTGATCTTTACATTAATGTTAAGATCCAAAAAATCGAATATATAGCAAATACATGCGATATATATGTCTATCAAAGAAGATATGCTTGAAAGATCTCACATATGTCGAGAACGGCTGAACTGATTTCGACAGTTCTCATTAATTCAGAATGGCCTCTTGGCAGGAAAGAAAAAACGTCTAAAAAATTGCATAACAATATCTCTCTAAAGATGAAAATATTGATTTTGTAACATTTTCTCATATTTTTTTCCATTTTGTCATATTTTTGGCATATTTTCATTTTGAATTAAACATTTGGTAATATTTCTACAGCTAACAAAACTAAGTAGTTAGGATATCAGGATATCATATACAGATCGCATTTATGGCCCGATCCTTACGAAATTTTGCATGGGGATAAGATGAGGGTCAGAATAGAAGCCTACTCTTTTTGGAGATGATCGCCATATATTTAGGGGTTGAAATGGATCAAAAAACTGCAAAATTGTCAGCAGGTCGTAATTATCGCCCGATCCTCACGCACATTTGAATGGGGGTTACCGGACATTGCAAAAGCCAAGCAGTTTTGGATGGCCATCCAAAAATATTCAATGTGTAAAGGAGTTTGCCAACTTTTGTAGACAAAATACGAAATTGTCCATTCCAGTGACTTTTCGGAGAATTCACAAATACAGGAAAGATGCACTTCTGACTATTTTTTTTAACGCTGATTTCGTTGAAGAATGTAGTCAAATGTCTGTATCTCATATAGATGCGTTTCAGTCAAAAACCAATAATAAATGTTAACCTTTTGCCACTTCTGAGAGATTATAGGTCTTTGGGAAATATTGGTTCCAGATCTAGGAATACCATTTACGTGCAACATCTACCAATAAATTGAAAATGAGCAAATTAGTTTAAGTTGCTATTATTCGAAAATTAGAGAACGAAACCTGATGGTTTTCTTTTATTATTTGTCACAATGTCTTGTGGAATTTATTCGAGTATCTCGCCGTATCGTTTATTATAGTGTTGTAGGGTATTCAACGGTCGGCCCCGCTCGACTGTAGCCTTTGCTTACTTGTTTTTATTTTAGAATATGTACATAGCAAAATACAAAATAGAAATGGTGCTTGTAATAATGTAAGCTATAACTACTTATTCAATATATAAAGGGTCTGTTTCTGTGTGACGAAACTGATAATGCAGAAAATGAATTTAGTATTGTTCAAATTTGCCTCAAGTTGGCTTAGACATAGTTATATGACCTATACGCATATATATGTACTAAACATAAATACGCAAAATATTAAATTTGCAGAATTCGTACTTTATACCCTAAATATTTTAAATTATGTCTTTGAGTTTTACCATTCATTAAATAAATTATCAGTGAAGCATAGAAGTTTTAAAACGACAAAAACTGTGTTTTTTGATCTACAATTCTGCACTTTAGGGAATCTTCAAAATTCGCATACTAGTCTCTATTAACAATACACATCACATAAGGGTTTCTTTGTGAAATTCGTTTTAATGAAGGTACTACAAAGTACTACAAACTGTGTTTACGACGTTATTGTTTACTATTAGACCTCGTAGGGTATCATAGGCGCTAGACATACAATAAGGTGTTTGGCAATTAGTACAAAAAAGTACTACGAAATACTATAATATAATATATAATAATACTATAATAATAATATATGGTATTACTCAGGCTAGAATTCTTAAATGTTTTAATCAGCTTTGTCAGACAACAGAAGAGGAGCAAGATTTCTCATAGTTATATGAGACTAATTTTGTTGTGAGGGAAGGCTGAGCTGCAGTATTTAAGGATATTTTTATTAAAAAGTAGTATATAATAAAACCAGTAAAGAAAGTCTTAAAGTCGGGCGGGGCCGACTTTATGGTACTCTACACCACTTTGCTAATTTAGTTGAGCTGCGCATAACAATTAAAAGTTTTTATGGGAGAATTCAATCATACACGCTATGATTATAATTATAATTTAAAGTTCAAAGAACTAAATATGCCGAAGCATTTGTATCTTTTAAATTCGGAGTTGTATTACCGATTTGGTGCACAATTAATCTGAAATCGGATAAAAATATATATGGGAGCTATATCCAAATCGGAACCGATCTCGATAAAATTTGGCATATATATTTCTGAGCTCTATTTGATATATTGCCCTGAATATCGTTGTTACGGAGTGCATATTACGGCTGTGGGTAACAAATACAACAAATCGGATGAACAATATATATGGGAGCTATAACTATATCTGAACCGATCTTCACCAAATTTGGCATACTTATTTTCAGGCCTAATTTGGTTGTATGTGCAAAATTCCATACTCTTCGGGCTGATATTACACGTTTGGTGCACAATAAAAGGCAAATCGGACGAAGATATATATGGGAGCTATATCTAAATTTTTACCGATTATCTCCAATTTCAATAGGGTTCGTCCTTGGGCTAAACAAATTGCAAAATTTCATCTCAATCGGATAATAAATGCGACCTGCATTTTGTTCACAAGAATACATGGACAGACGGACGGACAGACGGACTGACATGCATAAATCAACTCAGAAAGTGATTCTATGCAGATCATCAAAAGGAACTATGGGTCTATCTCGTTTCCGTTTGCCTGTTACAAACAAACGCACAAAGACATAATACCCTGACCACCTTGTGGTGTAGGGTATAAAAACGTTCAATTACGAAAAATTACGTGCAAAATTGTTTATGTGCGAACCAAAAGGGGCTAAAGCTATGCAAGTTTGTCTGATGATCATTCTGGGATGAGATACAAAAACCATATCTTAACGAGCAGCATAAAAGGTGGAAATAGAACACCATTATTATGGAGCAATCAGTCGTAGATTGCGGGCTGGGATAAAACTTTAGTTCTCAATACATCTATATAATGGGCACAAAATGTTCAAAAATTGAGATAATTGTTCATCATTGTAATAAAGCTATCGCCGGATGCTAAAATTTTTGAAACTACTTGCCGTTTGAATCCTGGTTCGGTACCTTATACGCTCATACGTCTTATGGCAACAGAGAGTACATATCATTTGATATTGTCAAAACATAAACCACCGAAATAAGGCGTTAGACCTCAGATCTCTTTGGGCTAAATCCGTTTAAGGGCATTTGGTGTCGATCTACGGGTGTCCGTCCTACCGTCTGGCTTGCTGTTGCGCACGATAACTCGCGAAGGTAGTATCCGATTTACCAAAGTTAGATCTAGTTCGAGTGGGTAATAATGGGTCAATCCTCTGATAAATCCCCCACAAAAGGAAAACAAAGTTCTTAGTACATGTTATACCTTTTAGATTGAGAACAGACTAATCAATTTTGTGCAAACTCTTCGAATCCTTATATTTTTATCACATCTTGGTCATATGCAAATATAGCCAATATTGGCCCACTCCATCAAGTACCTGCCTCACAACGGGTAAAAATTTTGAATAAGTATATCTCTCATAAAATTCCGATTATCTACTAATTGCACACATTTCAATATTTTATTAACACAAAATCCGTTGCGAAGATGGGATATATCGGTATGCTCCTTTTTGAACTTCCCTTACAACGAGTCAAAATTTGGAACAACAAAAGTCCCATAAAATACCAAAAAAGCATCCATTTCACTCCAAATTTCACAAATTCCAATATTTCCACTATCTTGTGTGAAAGAGGAGTATATCGGATTACAACTAGTGGTACCGTCCCCACAAAATGACAAATCTTCAATAATTATGCCACACACACACACACACACACACACACACACGATACTTTAAAACTTGATTTATCTAAAAATTTCTCTCAACCAAAGAATTTTTCGGCGCAATCTTTTTGGTACCTCCCTCTCAAAAGCGTTAAAATTTTGAACAATTATAACAAGTCAGTGACCTTCATCAAACTTTGTGTATTTGAATATTTCTGTTAACCATAGAACTAAGAGATATTTGGATCCCCTCCTTCCAGTTAAACTTTTCATTAACAATTGTTCCTATGGAATTGTAAATAATTATTCGATTTTCTTCTAATTTTGCACATCCCAATATTTTTGTATTAATATTAGATGAATAGGAATGCTTCGGCCCACTGTATCTGGTACATTAAGCACATTTCAATATTTTCCAGGAATAATCACATATCTTACATAAAGCGAAGGAAGTGGTTAATATAGTTAAAATCTGGCACGTCGTAATATTTATATCAGACTTAGATCAGACACGTAATGGATAATATTGGCCCACTGCTTCGGAAACTCTCCCGGAGCCCATTAGTTTG